TCATCATATATGTTTGTGATCATATATATGACGATATATATATATATATATAGTCACAAACGTAAGTGGCCGGTAAACCATTGGCAGAGAGAGATAAAAGACGACAAGAAACGAGGTGCATGTGACAAACTGGTTCGTCGGAGTTTGACCCCATTTTCTCTTTGTTTTTTTTAATATTCGTTTTTTTTTTTTTTTTTTTGCTTTATTTTCCGATTGTTTTTGGTCCGTTGAGAGCGCGGTGTTTATCATATATGCTCTTGATTTTGTCTTTTTTTTTTTGCTTCTTCTTCTTCTACGTCTTCTTCGCGTTCATCTTTGGCTTGTCAATTTTTTTTCTTTTTTTTCTTTTTTATTTTTTCCTTCGTTTTTTTACGGATATTTGATATTTTTGTTCTTTTGGGTCTTGTTTTCGTCCTTGTCTCATCTTTTTCTTCATCTTTTTCTTCCTCTTCTACATTTTTTTTTTTTTTTTTTTTTTTTTCTACTACTTCATACATAGCGGTCAGCATAGACACCCACGATATATAGACATGTAGACAGAAACAGAAGTGGCCAAAAAACCAGATAGAGAGAAATGAGGACAACAAATGATATATATATCGTCACAAACAGAACTGTCCGGTAAACCGTTGACAGAGAGATAGAAAAGAGGACAACAAACGACGTGCATGTGACAAACTGTTTCGTCGGAGTTTTAGCGCATGGTGTTCTTTTTTTGTTCCCTTGTTTTTTTTTGTTTTTTTATTTGATTTTTTCCTTGTTTTTTTTACGGATATTGTCTTTTTTTTTTTTTCACATGGTATTATTTTTATTTTATTTTTCCATGGAGTTTGACCGCATGGTGTTCTTTTTATTTTATTTTTTCCATGTTTTTTCGACGGATATTTGTTTTAGTTTTTCTTTCTGTTAGGTCTTGTTTTTGTCCTCGTCTCATTTTTTTTTTTTTCTTCTTCTTCCTTATCTTCTTCTTCTTTTTTTTTTTCTTCTTCTTCTTTCTTTTCGTCTACTTCATACACAACGCTAACCATATACACCCACGATATACACACATGCAGGCACAGACACAGAACTGGCCGGTAAACCTATTATAGATCTCTCTCTCTATATATATATCGCCACAAACAAAATTGCCCGGTAAACTGTAGGCAGAGTATATATATATATATACATATATATTTGTTGTCCTCTTCTCTCTCCCTGCCTACGGTTTTACCGGGCAGTTCTGTTTGTGACGATATATATATATATATATATATATATATATCGTCAAATAGAACTGCCCGGTAAACCGTAGGCAGAGAGGGA